ATTGTCTTGATTGTCTTGATTGTCTTGATTGTCTTGATTGTCTTGATTGTCTTGATTGTCTTGATTGTCTTGATTGTCTTGATTGTCTTGATTGTCTTCGGACTTCGACAAAGCTGAGGTCGGGGTTAGGGTTCTGATGGCAGTTGCCCCAGCGCTTGGCATTTCTTCACATCTTTGCCCCCACTTTCCCTTGTTCTACCTTCCACCAAAGGACACACGCAAGAATTACTTTACCGCCTCTCTAGCTTTCCCAACCGTGCAACACGAAGTAAAGCCCTTGGCGGCTGGATGACAGGAAGGGGAAGGAAATGTGGAAACCCCAAAAGAACCGACAAATCCAACTGCGATGACTCTCCTCAAGCGAAACCGACCGGGGTCCGAAGATCGGCGCCCTGGCCGGGACGTTCCTGACGACCGGCCTGCTTCGCCAATGCCGCCCACAAAGCGACGTCGAGTAGGCGACAACATCAGCGCTTCCAGGTTCCCGACAAGAACAGGGCGGGACCTCCTCTCTCCGCTCTCGGACGAGCTGCTTCTCCGCATCCTGTCCTTCCTGTCGCTGCCTCATCTCCTCGCCGTCGCTCCCGTGTCGCACCGATTCTACCATCTCGCCTCGGATTCGCAGTTATGGAAGGCACTTTACTATGCGCGGTTTGTACTCCCCAGAGCTATGCGCATCCCGGGCTTCCGAGACAGCGTTGCGGGAAGCAGCGCCGGACACAAGCTCCATTATTCGGGCAGGCAGACACTCTGGGCCGACGGGCGACGTGGTGGGTTGGTGCGCGAGAGTGAGGCCGACAGGAGGTGGAAGCGAAGGGATGAAACACCGGATACTAGGCGCGCGCTGGGCGATGATGAAGATGAGGACGGGCTGAAGGAGGAGGGCACACCACAAGCGGTTGACTGGAAACGGCAATACAAGATCCGGTATAATTGGGCTAGGGGGAAATGCGCCGTGGAGGAATTGAAGCTTGGTGGGGATGCTGATGTGGACGACCGGGGAGGAAGGAAGACCCTGGTCAAGGTGGTGGAAGGCTTTGCCGTGACGGCCGACAAGGCGGAGGGGCTTCGAGCTTGGGACCTCAAGAGCCGCCAATTGATGGCTCAGATTGGCATCGGGAGTCACGCCGATGACCCTTCACCGAGTTGTATTGCGATTGACGATGGAGAATTCGAAAAGGGGGCCCTTGATGTGGCGCTGGGCTTCACGGACGGCAGTTTTGGGGTATGGAGATTGTTCACTGGCGACAGACGACTCGTACAGCGATACCGTCACGAAAAATCCAGCAATGGGGAGTTGATTGCGGTGACACTTTCGTGCCCGTACTTACTGACCGCGACCCAGTCGGTGTTGGTTTCACTATACACCTTTTATGTTCCGGCTTCGGCCGCCGCACCCTCGCTCTCCCGGGCATCACGGAGGCCAGAGGCTGACGCTGAGAAGGATGAAAACAAACCGTCTCCACCAGCATATGCGAATGACCTGTCTGCCCCATACCTCCTGACTTCCCTTGATTCGCATACATCACGGCCACCGCTGGCATTATCCATCCGGAAGACTGCAACAACGGTCATCGCATCAGTAGCTTACACGTTTTCCACCCGACAAGGCTGGTCCATCGGGATTCAGGACCTGCACATCTCCGCACCCACAGCCGATATCAGATCCACCCCGGAGATCGTCACGACTAGGATAGCGTACGCCACGCCTCTGTACGCGGGCGGCGCTTCCCATCCACCGCTCACTCCACCCGCAACGCCTCGAAACCGGAGAAGCAATGATGCTCTAGAACCTGGCGTGTCTTCAGCTACATCATCCCCATCAGCCCACTCAGAACCCGGACCAACCACCTTGTGTTACTCCCACCCATACCTCCTAGCAACCCTGCCGGACAACACTCTGGTACTGTACATGTGCACATCCAACGCCTCCTCGCTCTCCATATCCCAGGGCATCCGGCTATGGGGTCATACCTCGGGCATCAGCGACGCCGAGATTACAGCTCGCGGTAAGGCTGTGAGTGTCAGTTTCAGGGGAGACGAGATGCGCGTGTGGGAGCTTGAAGGGCGGTCGGCCAGCATTGGCAGTCGCAGCGTTGCCATTCGACCGGATCAAACGCCCGCCAGGGGCGAGGGCGACGGTGACCCGGCTCGGGACTGGGATGAGCGGAGGAATTGGGTTGGTTTTGATGACGAGATGGTTATTGTCTTGAAGGAGAAGAAAGGAGCGAGGGACAGTTTGATGGTTTACGACTTTACTTGAGGAGCCACTTGGCATTGGCAGTTCAAGCATGGTCAAGCCACGGAGCATGGCGTGGATTGCTGGCGTCCTGCACTCCTGGCTTCAGACCAGAGCACAAGTTGCTCATGCAACCATTCCACAGCATACACGCTCGACTCAGGGTACACGCCGCTTTCTGTTGCAAAGCTCCAACCCTCAATGCCCGCCTCCACGCTTCACCGAAGGGATCCCACCTCCAGCATGACACGCCACTCTTTCGGCAAGCTAGTCGACCCGTTCCAAGGGCCCCCAATATGGCCGTTCATCCAGACTGACTCAATTTGCAAGGCCAGTCAATTCCGGCTCATCCACCTGTCGCCCGGCACTCTCGGGTAGCGCCTTACTCGACTTGAAGCAGGAATGGGGGCGAAGGAAGGCTCGGGGTTTGGCGCCTAACTCCGACTGCCTTGTCTGGCTGCTGGTGGTCATATCGAAGGCTGCATCCATCCGAATGCTGGCGTGTCGCCGAAAGACTCATACCTGCTTACGCCAGGCTGCAGTCATCTTCGCGCTAGGGAGCGCGGCGCGCCCTTTTCTGCGCATCGGGCATCGCTAAGGTACCTTAACCCACTGCTCATTGCACACATATTGCGGGCGACACGCTCCGTGGTGCCTAGACAGATCCTCAAAGAAATATACAGTGCTACACAGTCCAGTACGTACATACGGGGAGCATTCCAGCCCCTCACTCAGACTCGGGATGTTGCTACACCGTGAGGAGAGAACCTGGAAGGCAACAGGCTGTCTCGGATGGACATTTCGCTCCGGCCCAGCCGTTCCTTGCCTACTGTGTATTCTTGCGCGTTTCGGAAACCCCAAACCTGCTTTTCGCGTCCTTGGTTTATATCTACACTACCACGCAGGGTACTTGTGATCACCTCTGATGGATGGGTGCGAGACTATGTGACACTGTCTAAAGTGAGACATGACAGTCACCACCCGCGATAGCGGCTCGCCGGTGTGCGTTCGTTCACTGTTCAGGTGACGAAGCTTGTGGTGTTCATCCCACCCTCTTTGTTACTAGCACAGTACACTTATAGTGTAGGACTGGCACTCGGCAGTCAGTGAGGGATCATGAGGGCGGGAGCGGGGAGTCTGGCAAGCCTCGGCAGGCAGCGGCAAGGCAAGGGCTTGCACTTGCAGGCGGCTGCCGAATTGAAAATGTGAATCTGAATCAGGATTGGTGGACGGAGGGGTGCATGCTGATAGACTTACCCCATGGTTTCAGTGCCAGGGAAATGATAGGAGCACACCTTGTGGTGGGTTCATGCCGTGGTTTCATGCCTGCCATCGTCACCATCCAATCCGAGATTCTCAATCTCAGGGACAAACGCTCAGGTCTCTAATTGTACGAAAGTAAGTGGCCAGCATTAACCCTGGCACGGATTCAAGTACCCCTGTGTTGATATATCAGGGCTCAGATATATCCAGCAGTGGGAATAAGGCGAAGAGGGCACGTCTCTCTTGGTTACTAGTACCTTGGGCAGAACCCGGGCAGAACGCGCATTGCACTGTTTTGTTGCCCTGAAGTCGTCTTCCGGTTGGATACTGATGCCAGGTACCCGAGAGGATTGGTCGTTTCAGCGAATGGTTTCTTCAAGACTTTGATGTCGGCATTGCCAGCTCAGCACTACCCTTACCGTCTCGCCCTGCAAGGCTTAAGCTGTCCGAGTCGGCTGTGATGCTACGATGCAGTTCTATGCGAGTTCAAGGGTCTAATAAGATGGCCCTGCATCTTCGTCAGGGCTGTGGCTTTGCAGAGGTTCAGTGGGAGCTTGACTCGGTTGATGCCGCTGCAGGAGGTGCAGGGCGCGCATCCTTGGTTGGCTGTGCCTTGGAAGCGGAAAGGGGGCTGATTACCAATCGGTCAATTTTATCACCATAGAAAGAAGGCTTGGCTCACGACATGTCTCCTTGGTTCATACACTTGTACGACATGAACAAATTGCATACCGATTGGCTTCACTGATGAGCCTCACGACGATTCACTATCCCGCTTGTATGTACAAGTACCGATGGGCGAGGCGGACACTCAGTTCGAGGCGGCCCCTGATACTGCCGGCAGTGCCATTAGGAAAAAGCGTCGCGGAGGAACACGCAGGAAAACTGGTAACCCGAACCAAGCCTGAGTGGTCTGAGTCTCCAAGATGCGGTTCATGATGCTCACCAACTCTCCTTGTTAGGCTGGTCAGTGTCACAATTTCCAACGTGAAGTATCCTGCCTACGTATGCAATTTCTCACCCCGAGGAGCAGCCACACCTGCAAAACCCGCCATATACGGTGCGATGAGAAGAAGCCCGTCTGCACCAATTGCGAGCGCCTGCACCTTCACTGCCAGGCCTATGAGCTCATCATCAAGCCAAGTCCTTGGTGTAGTGCCCCAGCCGGCGCTCTGTCAAGCAGCAGCAGGGTTCAGCCAGACGGGTCAAGTACCGGCAAAGTCCACGGCGATGCTAGCACCGCTGATAGTAATGGCGCATCCGTGGTGACACCAGAATCGATATGGGATGTCTTCAACCAGATCCGCGTGCCCAATGGGGGCACAGGCTCTGGTGAGGCTACTACCGATGGATCTCACTCGCCACTGCCGGCCAGCAGCAGCGTTCCTCATACCAGACACTCGCCTTTGGACACAGTCCCGCTCACAGCCGAGATGGCTCATCTACTAGCCGTGTATCGAGCAGGCGTTGCCACGTGGATGGACATATTCGACCACGGCTGCGCGTACCAACGGGAAGTGCTCCGCAGGTGTCTAACCTCAAAGCTGCTTCTGACCAGCATCTGCGCATTCACCGCCAAGCACCTGAGCCTCCTCCGAGTCCCATCCGGCGGCAACCCTGACTTGAATGCACCTGACTGGGCTGCGGCTGCTGCCCGCTACTATGGCGAATCTCTGCGCATGTTGATCGCCTGCCTCAGCAACAACCGGTCCAGTCAATCTCCGCACGACGATCCGCTGACAGCGGCCATGCTGCTGGGCAGCTATGAGATGATTGCTGCCCAGGGACAGGAGCATCGACGGCACTTCCACGGGGCGATGGTGCTCGTCAAGACGCATGGGATCAATGCCCAGTCTGTAGAGGGGCTCGATCGGGCGAATTTTTGGATTTATGTTAGGCATGATATCACCGTGGCTCTGATTAACGAGACAAAGCTGCAGGTTAGCCCCAAGGAGTGGAACGTCAAGTGGCGGGAGGGGGAAAGTGAGGAGGATACGCTAGGCAACCAGATGCTTTGGCTTGTCGGGAGGGCTATTGATGTCGCCTATGCGCTTCCATGTGACTTGCCAGACAAGGGGGTTTCTGACTCGGAGCGACAAAACATATGTGCTGATGCCGCCAGGTGGCTTGATAGCTTGCCGCTGTCATTCAGGGGGGTCAAGTACGGCGAGCTTGGTGATGATCATGGGTTTACCAAAATTTACTTTGCCGTTCCCGCGGCAGGCAAGTCAAGCAACTTACCTTATGGAGGTGTGCAGAGGCATGAGCTGACCTTGCTGGAACAGCCGCTGCAATGATGTACTACCACTTGCTTCACATCCTGCTTTACGCCGAGCCTACACTCCACCAGCCCTCCTGGGCAACTCAGGTGTGTTTCTGCAGCGACTGATACCTCTTCAAGTCTGATATCGACTAATCCCTTGCATGACTTTCAGGTCCAAGATCATGCGTCAGAGATTGCAAACATCGCGTTGTCAGATCTACCCCAGAGTGTACGCAGCTTCTCACACTCGCCACTGTTCTTTGGTAAGATATTGCGATGGCCCGTTGCATTGCACTAAGGGCCTACTGACGTAACGAACCTCTCTAGCGGCAAAGCACATCAAGGGAAGGCCCAAGACCATGCTCCTCGGTCTGCTAGAAGATCTAGAAGTACAGCATGGGTTCAGTACCCGAGGCTGGGTAAAGAAATTGCAGCATATCATGGAGATTGTCTCATGACATACATGGGGGGAGACTACAGCCAGCAATAGCATCATGACAGCTGGTGATGAGATTCATCTATTACTAGGTACTCAGAAGTCAAAGACACTGGACGAGAAACTCGCTGGCTATGGGCGGAGGTTCCAGTCAACTGAACATGGCAGACATTGAAGACGATACAGGAAATTCCCCCGAGGACAGGATCTAGTACGGTGCCACCAAACTTTGAACACTATATTTGAAGTAATACCAAACCGCAAAAAAATGATACTTGTAGTGTCACGCTGCTCTGATTGCTAGAGTTAAAGCCTACTTACCTAGGTACCTTAGATGAGATGCAAGGTACCATCTACGGTCAACTAACGACTACTACCGTACATATATCATACCTGTAAGTACCCTGCATAGGTATGTTAACTCTGCTGAGAATATATGTCAATTTAAACATCAGAGTTCGCAGGGATAGATTACAAACTTGAATCCCAGCTGCCCCAGCAGTGCCAGCACAGCACCCCTTATGCTAGCGTTAGCCCGCCGCTCGCATTGATACCTCATTGACTCCCGTCTGCCACGCTAGACGCGACGTAGAATCATGACGCGGTACATATACTGTTCCTGCACGCCTTTGCTGTCAAAAGGGCGTGTGCACGTGAGGTGGTGTGCAGCCTGCATAGTACGGTACATATCACATACAGGTACCCCTGATCCCGTTTGGGCATGTTAAACGGTAGACGCGTGTAAGATACCAAATTGGGACATGTCAAAATCATGGCCGGCTGTTGACCTGTTCCCGTCAGTTCATGTTGTGAATGGCGTCAGTGGGCAGTGAAGATATCATTCATTCAAACTTAGATACTTCCCTCGTGGTTCCATTGGTATAAGTATGCGATGTTATCTGACTTAATCCTTAAGCTTTCCTGCGTCCGGTTGCGCATACTCTCTCCAGCTTCTTGCCGCTCCAAATACCGGGCTCGCTCCCTACCTCCTTACACACAAGGACTTCAAGTTACAGAGACAAGCTACCAAAACTGAACTCACAAACCCCCCAACCATGCACGTCCAACTCCAAACCCTCCTTTACCAACCCCCAGGCTACATCCTCGCTTCCATCCTCGCCTCACTAGGCGGCTTTCTCTTTGGCATTGACACAGGCATCATCGGGCCTGTGACCGTCATGCGGGACTTTTCCACCTTCGCCAACCACCCTTCGCCGACAGTCCACGGGCTGATCGTCTCTTCAATCCTCATCCCCGCAGCCATCTCCTCCTTCTTCGCGGGGCGCCCGGCCGACTCGCTCGGGCGGCACTGGGGGATTGCCATTGGCGCTTTCATTTTCGGTCTCGGCGCCACCCTGGAGGCGGCTGCGGCGCATATTGCCATGTTCGTCGCGGGTCGTGTGGTGGAGGGGATTGGGGAAGGGTTGTATCTTGGTACGCTGATAGTGTAAGTCCACTCAGAGTTTCAGACCATGCCCGTGGCGATATGAGGTGTGAGCTAGGAACTAAACTGATGGGGGTGATGTACTGTAGGTACATCTGCGAGATATCGCCCCCTAGATACCGCGGCCCGTTGACAACGGGGCCTCAGTTGCTTATAACCGCGGGGCTTGTCGTCGGGTTCTTCACGTGCTATGCCACCGCAAACATGCAGTCAACTTTCTCGTGGCGCCTACCTTTCATTCTGCTCGCGGCCTATTCGTTTGCCTTCTCTGCAGCTGTTCTCCTGTGGCTTCCCGCGTCTCCGCGTTGGCTCACGCTCCGAGGGCGGCCCGCCGAGGCCTCAGAGATCTGGGAGAAGCTTGGTGTCCCTGCTGCGGATCGGGAAAAGATTCTGAACGAGTGCGAGACAGCCGCTGATACTAATACCAGTACCGCCACCACCGAGGTTGGTAAGAATGAGGGTAGCCCGGGGCAAGGGCTCCTCGATCAGGCCAGCAAGCCGAAGGCCAAGGCCATGATGCTCGATTTGCTCTTGGATCCCAATGCGCGGCCTCGTCTCTTGCTGGCGGTGTTCGTCATGGGCATGCAGCAGCTGAGCGGTATTGACGGCGTCCTCTATGTATGTCCGCCGCACACGATATCTTCCGCTGCCGTAGGCTGAGTCCGAGACTGACCCTCCGATCGCAGTACGCGCCCATTCTCTTCCAGCAAGCCGGCCTATCTTCCGCCGAAGCGACCTTCCTTGCGTCAGGCGTTTCCGCCATCGTCATCTTCGCCGTCTCCATCCCGGGCCTCATCTACGCCGATTTCTGGGGCCGCCGCGTCAACACCATCCTCGGGGGCCTCGGCATGGGGGCGACCATGTTCCTCATGGGCGGGCTGTATGCCGGGGGCGCGGTTCACGCCAACGCAGGCACCGGCCGGTGGGTGGTGATTGTGTCCATCTACGTCTTTGCCGTCATCTACTGCCTCTCGTGGGCCATCTGCATCAAGATCTACGCCGCCGAGATCCAGTCGCAGAAAACGAGGGCGACGGCGATGGGCATCGCACACGGGACCAACTGGCTCAGCAACTTCCTCGTCGCCCTGGTCACGCCGCAGCTACTGGCGAACTCCAGCTACGGGGCCTACTTTCTGTTTGGGTCGTGCACCATTGCGACGGCGCTGGTGTGCTGGGCTTATATGCCTGAGACGAGAGGAAAGAGCCTGGATGAGATTGAGCAGGCCTTTTATGAAAGCAACGTTAGCGGGCTCAAAAAGTTTGCGGAAGCCTTCAAGTTGCCAACGAGGGTGTTTCGGAGCAAGCCTGTCGCCATGGAAGCCTGACGTAAGCGGTTCTTGGGCCCGCGGCTTGCCAGGGAGAGGAGGGCGGCTGGCCTGCAGCTGGGCAGCCTTGATTTAGGGGGCGGGCCTGTGCCGGGCTCGGGGTCCGTACTGTTGCAGCGGAATTCATGCGCTTCTGTGCCGGGAGGGAGCCCATTCGGCCAGAGACTGATGAGATGACGAGATTTGCTAGCCTGGCACTACTTTATGCGTGCCCCGTGCAGCACCTCTGCGGGAGACAACGCAGCGACACGCTGATCTGGTGGTTCCAATCGGAAGGTTGGAGACGGGCGTGTTGGAATGCCATGTTGGTCCTAGGAATTGACTTTGGAGCGCTCTGAGCGGTCGATAGCTGCTGATTTAGCGCCGCAGGAATACATCAACAATCCAGTGATTGGTCAATCAGCTGGGCTCCATGCAATGGTCGTGGAACAGGTGTTCCCATTCCCATGGTGGCATGCCGCAGCCCGTCGATGCGCGCTGCCAATTGACGAATGGCCCTTCTTCAATGCCAACGCCAATTCCGCTGGCTGAAAGTGATGAAAGTGAGTGATCTTTGACACGGCAAATTGACACGCCCTTCGAATTTTGAAAACAGATGGAATCTCTCCAATGTTTCAAGCAAAAAAATCGGCCTGGATCGTAGTGTAAACCAGTCCGAACCCAATATTGCTCAAGCGTAAAATTGAAGCCCACTCCGAGGACTAAGCACTTTGGTGAATTGAGGGGCATCGCCATTGCCCCTCACCGAGATGGGGGTCCAGTCGGAGCGGGGTGATAAGATAAGTTGTGGGTGGCATTGGCCCGCGTGTGACGGACCCTCGTGTCTGCCTGGAAGTGGCATGTGAAGCCCAGATTACCGAACTACTCAATCTCGTTTGATATTTGTAATAAGAGCGAGTAGGAAAGAGCGCGAACCGGTTTGGGGTTCCTTTGATGAAGGATGCGAACAGAAACTCCCTGTGTAGCCACCATCATCAGGTTGGAACAAGTGGGGCCTCCTTTTCTTTTGGTGTGTCATGTGGGATGCTATCGCGACCGTTCAGGTCAAGATTTCAGGCGGCTTTAACGTCAGGTACTGTAGTTTGAGTGATGGACTTCTCACCTACTGTAGTCATGTCCCGTTAATTTTCCAAGTGGGATGACTTGGTTTGAACGAGCTTCGTTTTCGGGTCGCCGGGAAACAGATTACTACAATCTGCTAGGCAGCAAACTGTATTACGAGTCCTGGAGCATTGAGCCTTCTCAATTCATCATCTGGTGGCCAGGCGTAGAGATGACTGCTAACTCCGAGAAGAGGCAACAGTTCGGATGCGCGGGACCAATGCCACACGCAATGGGTAGCCGCAGCACCAAACCTTACGTACTGGCCCGCCCAGAGCTTGCCGGCGGTCTCATTGACAGTCAAAAGATACCGTTATGCGATTCGTGTCAACGCCAGATTAAGCGGGTTCAGGTCAATTGGTTATCTGGTCGGAAAGAGGAGCGTTTAGTCCGGTGGAGACGATGGTGTTGAGAAGTTATTGTGAGGCCGATTGTTGCTGCCGTGATCTGGTGACAATTTCAATGATTGATCTTAGATTCCTCCGTCGTCGGATCGCATTTGTGATCACAGCCTGACAGCCAAGCTCATTCGTTTTTTACACCCACCCCATGCTTGAGGTACTTCAGAATGCCAAGAGTACAGTACATTGTGTTTATCGATAGCAACATCGCCCAACTAGACCCAAAGAGGCAAAGGAAGGTTTCGGCCTGGTATGATACAAGACCAACAAAAAGCGGACTGTGGAGGCAGAAGAAGAGTTTGTTTCAACCTTGTTCGCCAACCTAAAGCAACAAGCCAACTCCTCATCGGCTGCTCGTTCTCTGCTATGAGTCACACATTTGAAGTTCTGTGCCACCGCTTCAACGATTGGAGAGAACTGCACAAAATGGCATGCTTGCTCTATCGGCAGTGATGCCCTGATTGGCCAATTCGCGTTCCATTGCTTTTCGCCCGCTCCACGCACCGCCAACGAGGGAAGCCTGCTGTGTCTCCACAATCCACAACCACTGGCAGTATCCAAGCTGCCCCGCGCGATGAGCTGTCTTGCTGCTTGCTGCTTGCTGCTTGATCATAATCTGCCTTGAGTGCCCGAGTTCGACCTCGATGCCCAAAATGCGGCCCAATTGGAGATCAATTGATTCCGAGTCGGTGAGTCTGGCTCCTCTCTAGGTTTGCGGAATTGCGGACAATTGCTTAAGGCTCCACCTGCCAGGCAAGCACCATTCGTCCCTTCCCCTTCCTTCCCCTCTTTGCCCCTCTTCCTGCTGCTTGAGATCCTCTCTGTAGCCTTCGACGTTCCGCTAGCGGCAAGGCAGTTGCATTTGGCTAACTGGCGTCTCTTGTTAGGCCGCAGCTTTGGTATTAAAGCGAGTCTGACGAGGGTCTGGCGGTTCCCGCGACACGAGCCTTCCCGAGAACCTATAGTGCCTGGTTCCTTTTTCGATGGGAGATCAAGTCCAGAGCTGTTTCGAGCTTGTCTGCCGCTCCGCAGTCGGCGGGCAAGCGGTCAATGACACTGCTCTAGAGCACAAACACAAGCACCAAACATGAAATTGGCAGACGGGGAAGCTACAAGGCTAGGAAGCTTGCGTCGCCGGGCAGGGTGCCCCAGTCACGTCTGCCTGTCTCAACAGTGACAATGAGGCTCTGCTGAATGGCCAGGCTGGCAGTGGCTGCCAGTCTCGTCTTACGGCCATAGATCACCATTGAGTCGGGAACCCAACTACACCAAACCGTTGTAGCAGAGAGTATGCCTCGGGCACAGTTCTCCTGCCATCACTGTCCCTGTCATCATGAGGCTACAGTAGACCGCCATTATCAGCAACTTCAGGAAGGTCCCACGGCCCCGCCTTCCCTGGCCATGCGAACCGCAGGTCAAAATGACAATGATTGTGTTGTCAATGTCCCTTCGCGCAAGCAGGAACACTTGGCGGCCTCAGCTTCGCTCGCTAGCCCAACATTGCAGCAATTCCGATAAGCTCCTTTGCTCGGGCGATATTCACGACCTCAAGCCGCTGGAAGCGCCAGGAAAGCATTGAGTGAAATTAAACTCATAACTGTGTGGCAGCTTTGACGATTGGAATGACATCAACATCGTCTACCACACTTTTCCCTCCTTGCAGCACGATCATTTCGGATGCACGACAACCTAGATGGTGCCCTGAGAAACCAGCTTCAGATCAGACGGCAACCGAGCTTGCAGTGCGTTTCGAAGCAGAAACACTGGCTCTCTGGCCAATTGCATCAGCAAGTTTCTGTCCCGTCTGCAAAGCGCACACCAGGTACCGCTCTTTGGGCAGAAGTACCTTTCTCTTAGCCCGACCTATTTTTGCCTGATGGTTTTCCAGGGTCAGATCGAGCGGAGCGCGTGACCGGATTGGCCAGGCCACTCATGGCAGCGTGATGTGGTTGGGTGGTGGTGGTGTGTGAGATGGATGGAGGGGTGTCTGAGTTGACGCATCAGCAGGATGACTCCTATCCGAGTGGAGCACGGTTATCCAGACGCCCGTTCACCCCCGCTCACACACCACTGCAATCCAAACGCCACGCTGCGTCCGCTAACACACCATCAACCCCAGATTCGTGCGCCGCCGCTCCAAGATGGGGCAGCGGGCTTGCCTTTTGCCTTGGAGCAACAGACGCGTTGTGCGCCGTTTGACTCGCCGTCTGTGTGACCAGGCTGTCGCAACCAACTCCGACATCCGTTTCCTGCGTTCCTGGGGCCCTTGGGCTGCGCGCCTGCCGATGCCCTGCCTAGACCTGCCCATCAAGTGATGCTTGCCTACACCACACTACTTTACCCCGTCCTCCATCCCCCTTGCCATGTCCTGATACCTCTCCTTTCTACCTTTTCCTACTCTTTGAGCCATACGCATTGTGCCAGTCTGTGTCTGGTCACAATTGTTGGCGTTCTTTTTGTCTGCCGCATTAGTCCCGTAATACTATACTTATGGGCCAGCCTTTTGCCACCTCTCCGCCTTCCAGCTATTTCCATTGACCAGCCATAACACAGCTTGGTCATCTGAGCTATTGTTTCGCAACGCCCACCTATTGTCAACGCACACCTGAATTACTTCAATAGTGACAGGCACCAGTGCCGAGCGCGATGTCCTTTTGCATGCTTTGCATTGTGCACCGGCCGACGGATTGACCGCATCTTCGATTCGAGCTTTCGTGCTTCAACACCCAACCTCCTGTCCTCCTACTAAAGCGAACGCCGCCTCAGACGCTCTCGGACTACGCAGCCCTTTGTCTAAGGTATCCAACAACCCATCAGAGTCACTCGCTTAGGCCACACAACAAACAACGGCCTGTCTGACGAATCGCCGAGCTACTGCGCCAGCATTCCTGCCTCAATTCGCATTCTGGCCGCCGCGGATTGATGACGCTTCCCGGATTCGCCACCCTGTTTTCCACCAAACAGTCATAAATGATATGGCTGACAAACCAACCACGGCACCCGTAAGGCACCAGTCCGTGTCGCATGAGAGGCGCCAGACAACAACAACAGGACAGTTCTGGGCTTCCTCTTCCTCTTCATCCATTCCTCTTCCTCCAACACCCACAAAAGAGATGCAGGACGTACGAGCGATGCCAGCAGACGGGCATTCAATGCCTCAGAAACCGCAAAAGCCCTGCGACATCAGCAACCTGATGTCGCCTCCCGAGCCTGCTCCTCTCGACATGTGCAAGTCGGTGGACCTGCCAAATGGGAAACCCTCATCACCTCCAGAGGCCCGCGTTCCCCATCATCCTCTGTCACCACCAGTCTCGCCCTTTGCGGCACCTGCCAACTCGATCAATCCAGTGCCTACTTACAGCTTTGGCGCGAAGGACCCCATTCTCTACCCTACCGCTGAGAATTCCGCCAGCGCCGCCACCGGGCCTTTGTTCACGCTGACGTCGGAGTCAGTTGATGCGTTCAGGACAGCGACCGAGCGACTGGTGAGCGAGCACATTGCGTCAAGGCCCGCGGGCTTCTTCCGAGATTCAACACCTCCGAGGCGTGAGGACTATGAGTTGGCACTGTTCTTCAAGTCCAATTGCCTGAAGATGTTCCAGGACAACCCGAAGCGGTGGTTGAGTAAGGAGCGCGAGCTTCTGCGGGCCGACCGCAAGCACACTTCATTCTCAATGCAGCATTCTAGGTTGCCACACATCCTGCCGGCGGCAAGGCCTCCTGTTCTCGGGCCGCAATCGGCCAAGACACTGACAACTCGGGTGCAAAAGCCCCGGGCAGCTCCCAAGAGCAAAACACAAAATCCGCGGCCAATTCGAGCAACTCCTGCGCCAGCGCGCGAGACAATCTGTGTTGGCACGCCCGAGCCAAGAGTCCGGACTGTCGCTCCCAACCGCGAGGACAAGGATTTTGAGTCTCTTGAAGATCTCTCCCCGCCTGTCAGCTCGCTTCCAGCCAGGCCGAACAGTCTCAAGGTCGATTGGAAGGGGAATGCCTTGGATCTCAGCAACGATCCTCACCGCAACTTGCTGCACCCTGATGAGTTGACCCTGGCCAGCAACCTACGCCTGGACTGCGCGACCTATCTCACCAGCAAGAGGCGCATCTTCCTACGTCGCCTCGAGTGCGCAAAGATCAACAAGGAGTTCCGGAAGACAGACGCGCAACAGGCGTGCAAGATTGACGTCAACAAGGCATCCAAGTTGTGGCAGGCGTACGAGAGGGTTGGGTGGCTCGATTTGTCGTGGATGCGGGAGCACCTCAATCGTAGCGCCCAGAGATCTTGATTGGGCATCTTCTGACGCTCTCGATGGGTTACGGCTGGGATGATGGATTTGATGAAGGATTACTTTCCCTCGCTTGCGATGATCAGCGGTCCGGGCACGTCTGCGATGATTTTTTTGGCTGCCAGGATTTCCTCGCCCGTGGTTGGGTAATGGTGTTTTTTTTTTTTTTTTTT